AAAACACAGTTAACAGTAAAATTTACTGCGAGCAATAACCCTCTGAGGTACCGCGGTTCTAGAGAACGATTTACTCTACATATTAATTTTGACTTTGTAATCAGGTCCGTCTGTCCGTCCAACCTAGCCGTGTAATGGCGGTGTAAGAATATCCACCACTGCCTCGATGTGCGATCCTGCGATCTCTCCGGCCGTATCGGATTACCGTCGCATGACTATGAGAGTGAGGGAATATAGAGTGCACTCATGCTTGCGCATACACTCGTGCACTATAATCCTGCCCTGCGCTGATGATTCCGCTCCGTTATAATATGACCGCCATGACGGAAGTCCAGTCTGGACGTCGAATTCCGTTCACCAGTCTGGAAGACAGTTTTCTTTTTATTTATTTCTACATAGAAGTAAGTATGACCAACGAGCATATAGTTAGTGAATGCTGCGGTCCATAACTACGTTTATCCTCGATTAAGAATATAGATGCAGATGCATCGTACCCCTGAATAGCAAGATGGAATGCGTCGTACCAGTAAATATCTATGGTTGGTCTAATTATGTAACATATCTCTTTGATACTTACTTTATACAAAAAAAAAAACAACAAATAACATTGCTAGTATTTTCATTAATAGAGGCGGATTTAAAACCACATTTTATAAATCTATATAAATAATTAAAATTGAAGTGTCTGTTTGTAATGTCAAAATAACAGCTTTTTAATAAATGCGTATGAAAGTATATACAGTACTTATAACAAAAACACAATTTTTAAAATTTTTGTCTGTTTGTCTGTTTCTTACAGCCAATCTCCGAAACGGCTGGACCGATTTTGACAGGATTTTCACTGGTAGATAGCTAATAATATAAGGAGTAACTTAGGCTGCTATTAGTTTAGAAAAAGATTTAAGGTTCCGATCAAAAAAATTAAAACCAAATTACACACGGGCGAAGTCGCGGGGTACAGCTAGTTATAACTACATTTCTCTACATATAGTGTAAAACAAAGTTGCTGCTCGCTGTCTGTACGCTTAGATCTTTTATGCTATGCAACGAATTTTAATACAATTTTCATCAACAGACAAAATAGTTTAAGAGAAAAGTTTATATGTTGTATAGTATATGTATATTATATATTTTATAACTTTCTATTCGTGTGTATGTGACTGAACTCCTCCTAAACTCCTCCTAAACGGCTGAACCGATTTTGATGAAATTTTGTGTGTGTGATTAAGTTGATTATAGAATGGTTTAGATTCACAATTAGACACGGTAAGTGGCGTTGTAGTCGAGATCCAGAAATTGACCGTGCGAAGCCGGGGCGGATCGCTAGCTTGCAAACAAACTATATTACTAGTATTTATTATTACTAGTATTATAATAATATTATATATATTAGAAAAATATGGCTATAATTTTAATTTATAAAATAGTTTAATTGCAAAATAATTAGGACACGTCACAGGTGGGCTGAACATGAATGAAAAACGTGAGAGAATGAGGGCGATGTAGAAGTTCTACATATCTAGAGAAAGTCAATTTTATGCAACTACATAGGTACTTACTTAATTCTTTTTTTAGTTTAGCACTGATAGACATAGACAGACATAGACATGCATTTATTAAGCAACATACACTCACAGTTTTGATACAGAAAATAAAATAATACATAAAAACATCAAAGACAAAAGTAAATAACAAAAAACCGTCATAAAATAATCCGATTGCATGAGTGATGTGGTGCTGAAAAGGGCACTGACGCAACGTAATGCTATCGCAGGATTGCGGTAGCGTTGGTTTTCAGCAATGCCCATTGAGGTTGGACTCGCCCGCGAGGATAGTACGAGTATGTTCACTTTATTTCTATTTTCGAGAAAGATGTTATCAAAATAATAAAATAAAATAATGGAAAGAAAAAAGGATGGGCACTTTATTTATGCAGTAGGTATATATTATATATAAAATATAATAATAAATAATATAATGAGTATATACAATAAAACAATATAGATATTTATATAATACTATGAAAATATAATGCAGCTATTTTATCCGCCCTAAATGTTAAAGTGACAAAAATATTCTTTTACTTTTATCTTGAAAAGGCTGATGGTATTTAGTTGGCGGATAGGTGGGGGCAAGTTGTTCCAGCATTTAGTAGCTGCATATCGGAAACTACCGCGGAATGCTGCCGTTGTGTGTTTTGGTACTGAAAGGACATTTGATTTTGTACGAATGTCCTTAAAATTACCATCCTTGCGCCATTTTAGTTTTTCTAATAGATACTCGGGCTTTTTGTTTTGAAAGACACCGAACATTAGTGTTGCTAAATGTAGTGCTCTTAATTGGGGCATTCTTAATAACTTCGATTTATTTAAAAAGGGACTGACGTGAGTTCGTGGGGGAATGTGGTGTATATACCTGGCACAAGCATTTTGGATCCTCTGAATTATTCGGTCAGTTTTCGAAAGTAGCCTTGGTCCATATACCGATAGCCGAACCGATAGCGCCCCTTTGTAACCCTAGGCATGTGCCTAGTTCGTCTTAAAGATAATCTGCCAAAGGCCTATATAAATCATTGTACCTTTGATAGGTCATAATGTATGAATGTATGAAATACTGCCGTCCACCGTTTCCTAACGATAATTTCCTTTACCGCCAAGCACGTGGTGAACCAGCAATCAACAATTTCATTGGAGCCGGCTGGTATCGAACCAGTTGACACCAATGAAATTGTTATTTGCAATCCGAAGCACTGAGCCCCATAGCTCCCACGGCTCTTAATACTTGATTAAGCTTTCCTAACCCACATTCATCATTATTACAGATCATCACAAGATCACTGCTGAACATAGGCAAGAAAAAGATATAAAAATGCCTAACCTAGATTATAAATAACTAAATATATTAATGTTCGTTTCTCTCACAACAAAAACGTCAAACTCTACGCATAGTGTGACTACGAGACAAACAAATTAAATTATGTAGCTAGCTTTTGTCCACAACATTGAAAATGAAAGTATTATTTACATAATTTAATATAGTTTAATGTTAAATTGCAAAATGCCAAATTCTTCCAATCTATACAAATAAATAAAATTGAAGTGTCTGTTTGTAATGTCGAAATAAAACAACAGCTTTTTACTATATTCATATGAAAGTATATACGGTACTTACAACAAAAACACGATTTGTAAAATTTTTGTCTGTCTGTTTGTTCTAGCTAATGTCCGAATTTGCTGAACCGATATTGACCGGACACTGACAGATAGGTGATGTTATAAGAAGTAACTTAGGTTACTTTTATTTTAGTAAAAGAATTAGGGTTCCGCGCATAAATTAAAACCCATGAAATCCAATTCAAATAAATTACAGCTAGTAAAAAATTAAACAGATTCAAATATTAAGTGTCAATTTGGTTATCATATCATTTATCTGTGTTCACAACGTTCAAGCACAATCGCTCCGTGTTTTGTTTTGTTTTCATTAACATTATTTACAGAGCACATTCTTGATTATTTGTTTTAAATCGAGCATGACCTGTGGTTGAATTAAATAATTAAAATGACTATGTATGTAATATTTAATGAATTAAATTTCTGTCTTGTGTAACGTACTTCGGAAATAAAAGGGCGCGCTGTAAATTTCATAGTAAGTTAGCAAGCCGAATTAAATCCCCGTCGTCGCCAATGATATTGTTAAATAGGCAGTTTTAAGTGTTGATTCACCACGTGGAGACCTGCATGTCTTAGGATATAAAAATTTCTAGGACATATGCGGACTTACCCTAAGCCCCTTTTATTAAAGAATGCTTTTTATTACTTTTTTTTTTGCAATATCAAGTGAAATTTTTAGAGAAGGTTCGGAATAAGAAATAAAGACAAATGGCGAAGAAAAATTAATTTAAAAAATCACAAACGTTCTGTTATTTTTTTACTTTAAAATGCGTGGTTATGCATTATTTTAACTGATTGTCTACTATTTTACCAAGCACGCACACATTTGTAAGGGTCGCTCGGTAGGCAAAAACGTTGAGAATTGAATCGCACACAGAGGAGCGTGCGCACGCGTAGTTGTTGCCCATAAATCACATTCAATTTTTCATTCTGTATAGGTGGAAGTGCTCATTTACCTAATAAATACACATAACATTCATAAGACAAGAATACATTATTTAATTACTTTCTAAAATATATACTGGTTTCCTATATATTGCTTGAAACGATACATTAATTTGCATATTTACATACATTGAATTTTTATCAAAAAACGAAAAGATATTACCGTGCAGTGGCTTAGAAAACTTTTGAATAAAATATTTTTTATAGGATAGGGTGACAAACGAGCACACAGTCCACCTGATGGTAAGTGGTTGCTGTGACCCATAGACATCTACATTCATCCTCAATAAAGAATCAAAATGCAGACGCGTCGTCACCCGTAATGACTAAGATGGAATGCCTCTTTTCCAGTAAAATGGGTCTCCGGTTCTCTACACTCACCATACGAAACACAGCAGTGTCAAGCTGCCATTTTACGCTGGTATTCTGTGAGAGCGTGGTAATACCCCGGTCGAGCTGATCCATTCGTTCTACAACCATAATATAGCTGTAGTGTGGCTTATTTTATTTTTACACATGGTAGAGTCACGCTGCAGCTTTATTGTGGTTGTAGTATGAATGCGTTGGCTTGACCGGGGAAGGACTACGCTCTCACAGAAAATAGCAGCGCAAAATAGCAGCCTAATGCTGTATGTCGTATGGAGAGTGTAGCGAACCGAATTACGAAGGGTTTTTACTGGAAACGAGGTATTCTATCTTAGTCCTCTGGGTAGACAAAACATCTGCATTTTGATACTTAACTGAGGATAAATGTAGATGTCTATGGGCCACAGCATCCACTTACCATCAGATTGGCTGTGTGCTCGTTTGTCACTCTTATTCTTTAAAAAAAATAACACAATTACAATGGTGATAACTAAAATTATTATTTTTGTTAAATTTCAGAACAAGTTTTCTGGAGACTTAAAATCACCTCACGAGACCCGAAATGGTGACTCAGTACGTGGCTTCTACAGCTTCACGGACGCCGATGGTAGACAGCGCACTTTTCACTACACTGCAGACGACAAACTGGGCTTCAAAGCAGGAGTCGCAAGGAATAACCGAGACAACCATTAAGATACTGCCAATAGTCTAGTCAAAAACTGCGCCATTATTTTATACATGTAGCCAGGATGTCATCGCATTAAAACTTGCAAAAAAAATATAATTTTTGTCTATGGTTTACGACTGTGACACTTTTTCTCATTTATTTTATTTGGATAAAGAACCTTTGGTAGGCACCAAAACAGAATCAAACTTTTTTTAAATATATATTCATCCGAGGTAAGTATGACAGTGAGGCAAATATAACAAATGCAAATTATGCGACGTAATCACATTTTTTGTCAATTTCCTTGAACTTTTTGAACTTTTAAGCTATTGACTATACCGACAGTTAAGTACATAGCTTCAACTATTTTATCGACAGACGTCATGTTTTTAAACTACTCTGAATACTTGCCCCATGTGGGGAAAAACTCATTGTTACACAAAAATGGACGTTCTAATCGTTTATAGATCGATTAGTATCATCTCTTGAATTTTGTCGAAAACTACAGATAATAAAAAAGTAACTACAAAAAGAAGTTTACTGTCACACTTGCCTTATTTGATTAGGTAAATGTAACGGTCTTTCACCTCAATAGGTTTTAATTACCTTAAATTACAAAATGCTACTTGTAGATACTAAAATGCTTCATCAAACAAACAAACACTAGAATTCATGTTATGAAACTGAATTCTCTATGTTAAATCCTTACGGAGTAGAAGTATTTAAATGTCACATGAAAGATTATAACGAGTCCTAGAGTCCCTAAGCAGACACAATAATGTTACCTTTAGTTCCGCCAAAATTGTAAAGCAAAATTTCAATTTAAATATCTCAGAACCAATACAATAATCAGTTATAGACACAATAATTATTTACAATTCCAGTATAAGCTGTTGTTTCTGCAGTACAGGTTAACGAAAAGCTTCTGTCATTTACATTCAATTTTCATAATAGGTACCTAACATTCACTCGAATCGTCTCGAATCGACTCGAACTCGCAAATGAGATGCGCGTTTAAAATTAAAAAGAAATCCCATCCCAAAGCTTTAGTTTTATTGTATAGTTTTTAAAATCTCTTAATCCCAAAGGAATTTTGAAAAGTCTACCATGTTTATTTAATAGCAAGTATCAAGGAAGCAAAAATGCCAAGTACGCCACGTCTTTTATATCTTATTTATAGAAAATATTAATATAATACATTTCAAATAAATGAATTAATTAATTAACTATTTAATAATTGTTTCTATTTTATTAGAAACTGCAATAATACTCATATATCACAACATTTAGAATATATTACTTTTTAATTTAAACTTATAAAATATCCCGACTACATCTGCTCGTAAAACGTTTACAGGGACATAGTTTCAACAAAACTTTACGATGCTTTGTGCAACCATTCAGTAGGCAACTTACGAAGACTTAATGCAAGATATTCCGGATGTTATAGGCTTTTAGCGCTCCCTTTTCCGTTGCAAAAATCTCCACGATACGAACGGGAAGACGGGCGCGTACTACTGCTGCGTAGAGTTGTTACATTATACACCAGTCCGCCACAGTATAACTAAGCGCGAGTACTACTAATATTACAATTGTGAAAGTTTGTTTTGATGTTTTTAATGTGGCACAGTCATGGCAAACGAGAATTGGACTTAAGCTATATTATTTGCATAAAAAAGACTAAAAAGTCAGACAGGCTAAAAGCAAAGAAAATATACACTACGCGAACTAAAAGTCTGTTCCAATTCACAGTATTTTTAATCAGTGGCTCAATAACAAATTGTCGGTTTTTTATTAAACTAGAACGGAGCCGCGAGTAAATGTTTTTTAAAAATATTTTTAAATAAAACATTGAGACGATGCGATCAACAGAATTTTAAATCTAGAAATTATACAGCTATCAATATATATTATGGAATATTATATGTAGATAGTTCTATTATTATCTAAATTTCTTATGTAAGTATCTATATCTAATAAAATGAAAGGTTATTGAAAAGTAAACATTTCTTGAATATAGAAGACACGCATCAAAAGTTGTACATAACGATATTTACGCAATTCTCGAACGTTATTTTTAAACTGTTGAAAAAATTATCATATTGTCAAGCGTCAATATGATTGTTTTTATCTATTTTTAAACTTTTGTAACTTTTAAATATATAAGTATTTCATTTTGTAATGGAAATAAATGGACACAAAATACCACGTTGAGTTTTACTGTTTTCTTTCCCATGTAGTGGAGGGTTAATACATTATTTGTACACTATTTAGAAACGTGGATGCTGTCTGAGACCCACAAGGCCTTGTAGGTGAAACGACTGAATAACTACAGCAGCCTATAGACTCCGACAAACAACATTAAACAACGCTGTTTTTTGGGTATTATATCTCTATCCCATCGAGTTTGAAGTTTAGTTGAAGTCCCAACATTGGGTTGTTTTACATTTAATTTGTATAAGATCGTCCTAGGATTTTCTTAAAGATTCGATCCTATTATCCTACGACATATAAGTACCTACATATATTGACGCTTGAAAGGCAATAATTACCAAGCGAGATTTTGGGCGATATTGAGTTATATACATCATTGAAACCAGCAAAATACTCGTATTCTGCAATGTCACTCTCGTACCGTTAGGATGTTTTGTTGTCCTTTTTTCAGTTTTCAGCGACCAAGCGATTAAAATTTCACTAATTTATAAATAATTTTTGTTTGGTAGGTTTATACACTTAGTAATTTTTGCCTTGACTCAAATTAATGCGATTAAACATAAAGTGTTGTTTTTTCCTTACGGCATCTAGGGTATAAGCATCACTTAAGAAATTTTACTAGATTAAATTTTTTTTCTCTTGTACTTTAAGACTTTTTAACACACCTTAATTATGTACCTACTCGTTTTCATTAAGTATTTTTTCCTAAATGAACTGGACTTAAAGACGTAATATAGTAGTATGTTTCCCGCTTAAAAAGTATATATTTTGTCATTTGGTAATATTTTACCTGCCGTTTTTTTTTACTGTTTTTGTTACTTAGATAACTATTTCTGATATGAAATTTGTATAAAAATGGGCTTACCCCTGTTGCATATATTTTGTTTTGTCGCTTATACGCACTGCAAAGCAGATTTTGAGTGGCTGTTGGTAATAAAATATGGAATAATCTTCACCGAACTGTCGAATAAAAAAATTAATATGCCTTAGGTACCTATATATCTCATGAGTAATTACTAATGCTCTAAATGTATAAGACTTGATCTTAAATTGTGTTGTTTAATTGATAGTTCACCAAAATATTTTCACACATGTTGTGTGGATTGTGAAAGGTTTTTGTAATTTTAGAATATTTTAAATACTCGACAGCTATTTTCTTCTTAGTTAAAATTGTGTTTTACCTACGTATACTAATTTAAAAATTACTTATTTTAGTTATAGTATTGGTATAATAGTAATTATGTTAGTTTATTTTTACAAACAGTTGATTTAAGATATCTTAAATATTCACTTTGAGGGAGGGAGGGATTTGTCTGCAATATTCGTATGTTACAGATACATAATATAGTCGTCATTAACAAAGGGTTAGTCACTGGTCTAAAACCTCCGTCAACCCGCACTAGACCAGCGTAGTGGATAATGCTTTAATTACTCAGTAGTGGGTGATTGTAGATTACTACCTACAAAAGCTGTAATGATAATGATGATGACGATGTCCGTCAAAATGCTTTGCCCGAAAGTCCTTGATTTTGTGTAGTGAAACCTTAATTCATTGAAACTTGTTCAAAACAATCCAACACTAACCATATTTAATTTGCATTATTAAAATTGGCCGTCAGAAAAGTTTTTTATTTCTATTTAGATCATTTTACCTATGTCAAATATGCGTTACTTCTGGATGCGTCATTTTTCTTCATATACAACTATAAAATAATGAGGTATACTTAATTTTATTTGATTCATAATAAAATTTTGATGTCGGTAAGTAACATTTACATGTTTGTTTTTTTTTATAGGATGAGGGTGACAAACGAGCACACAGTCCACCTGATAGTAAGTGGTTGCTGCGGCCCATAGACATCTACATCTATTCTCTGTTACAAATCAAAATGTAGATGCGTTGTCACCCGTGAGGACTAAGATGGAATGCCTCATTTCCAGTAAAAAGGGCCTCCGTCCACCTGCACTTACCAATCGAAACGCAGAGGTAAACCTCTACTTCACGCTGGTTTTCTGTGAGGTCGTGGTACTACCCCGGTTCGAGCCGGCCCATCCGTGCGACAGCAAAAGCTGCCGCGTGGCTCTACCACTGTTAAAAATGTGATATTGATGAAATTATTATTACCCGCCACTATTTCATAAAATATTGAGATATTCATAATCTTTAAATGCGAGTTTACTAAGCCTTTAATTTGTATCTAAAATCCGTTGGAAACAAATAGTTATGACTAATAGGCGATTCTTTTACAATATATTTAAAAAAAAAACTTTAAAATGCTCTAGTATAAAGTTGCCAATATGTCGCCTTTGCCTTATTGCCTTTCAAGCGTCGCATCTAATATAGTTTCTCAAAAAGAGTTAAAGTTAAAGAAAAGTTAAAGAAAAAAGTTAAATGGAACGGGTAGGCAACCACAGTTTTTTATATTAAATTCAGTTGTTGTCAGAAAGATGCTACTGTAAATTGCCTGTTTAAGGTGAAAGCAAGAAAATTAGAATTTCGCTGGCCACCCTGGATGGCCAGCGAAATTCTAATTTTCTTGCGTTTTTTGGAATTTGCAGGTCAGGGTCAGGTTGAATGTTTAATAAAATATGATTCGCAACCGTAACGAGTATGTGTTTACAGAATTATTATTATTAAAATCACTAATACAACCCTCTAAGTTCATATAATCCCTTTGAATGAGTTTTTCTGGCAATAGCCATACGTTGGAATTATACGAACATAGACGGTTGTATTGATGATTGTAATGATTATAATTCTGTAAATACATACTCGATACGGTCGCGAATCATAGTTTGTCAAACATACAAC